ATTATTTTCCCACAGAACTCTATACGAACCTTTTGTCCTCTCATACTAATTTAATTTCAAACAATTCCTTGGAATCGTTTGAAACTTTATTCCAGGCGCTTATCCCCCCCCCCCCCCCCCCGAAAAAAAAAATAGGGTCCCATGGCGTTTATAGGTCAAAACTGCAGCTGTTTAAAATTAAAAATTAACTTATAGTAACCGCCAGTAAATAACACTCTGCCAAAAAAATCAACCTCTGCTCCTATTGTCTTCCCTGGTATTTCTATATTTCTGTAATATTCATACATTCACTCATTTATTTCAAACATTAATATTTTTATATTTAAAAATTTTTAAAAAAAAAACATAACATACATGTACCTCATTTAAACCAATCAGGTAATGCCTTCCTATTCAGCACCACTCGGATGACTCGTACCTCGCACATACCCTCGGACGTCAACGGTGATCTACCATCTTGCTGATTCAGTCATGTGATCTTCCTTTAACTTCCAATTTTTTTTCTATATTTCCTTGCTAGCTATATACTGTTGTAAAAAGTTGTAAAAAGTGGGGGGGGGGGGGGAGGCAACCATCTTTTCAATGGACATTTTCTATAGCAAAGGTAATGTTTGGGAAAAAAGTGGGGGGCATGCCCCCCCCCCCCCCCCCCCCCCCCCGTTGCTACGTGCCTGAGAAATGTTAGGATCTGATGTTATTCCTCCACTAATCACATCCGAATTTTGAATGGAGCGTAGTGGAGTCAGCCGAGGATTGCCGATTGATTCAGCACTCCACTCTCTCATTCCTATTACGGTTAGGCCTGGTACAGTTGCCGCCATTTTTTGAGCAAGTAAATTAAAAAAACAGAAGTCCAGATTCGAATAGCTAGTTTTAAATAAACCGCCAGAATATGAAACAATACCCCCACAGCATATAATTATGAACCCACAGCATATAATAATGAAACCACAGCATATAATAAAAGAACCACAGCATATAATTATGAACCCACAGCATATAATTATGAACCCACATAATTATGAACCCACAGCATACATGTATAATAATGAAACCACAGCATATAATTATAGACCCACAGCATATAATAATAGATCCACAGCATATAATTATAAACCCACAGCATATAATTATAAAACCACAGCATATAATTATAAACCCACAGCATATAATAAAAGAACCACAGCATATAATTACAAATCCACAGCATATAATATAAGAAGCACAGCATATAATATAATCATCTAACATAAGGCAGCCATGGCGTTCCATAAGATGACCTATATAATTACAATTAATCTACTTTTTGTCCATCACTCTGACTGTACACACAAATATTCTGAAGTTGAGATTAAAAGGATGCCGATTTCCTCATTGACAACATTTATGTACACTAGTCTTCGTAGACCAGGTCATCCAAGAGACTGCTGGAATTCCAATGGGTACCAAGTCTGACAGATAAGTTGACGTAACACAGATCTCAACAACCTCCTTAAAAGTCAGCATTTCGTAAATTCTGTGGTCTTTATAATGACATTATGTAACCTATCACTGGGTCGTGTTTTTGTTGACTTGTTTCATATCAACTGTTTAGCCTTAAGTTGCTTTTATACTGAATTTGACAACGGAATGGTCGGTCTATTGATCAGTACTTAGGGCTCATGGCTGGTGAGACTGTTCGACAGGGGGTGCTTACTATTTCTAGGCATTTTATCCCACCTCTGGAATCTGCTCTCAAAGTTCTGCGTTATCTTTATCTTTTTTTCTTGTCTTTTATCGTCCGTAAACATGGATATTTTTCTGTTGTTTTTAGCTACATGTGCATATAAATATTTTCTTTTTTATTTATACCATAATTATTAATTATCAATCTGATATTTTATCGATCCTTTCCAAAGAGAGGTATCAGGGTGATAGTTAAGATCCGTGGACCTCTTGTTATTTTATCGGTGATCATGTTTAAAGATGACAAATATTTCTTGACAAACCTCCGTGAATAATAATTAAATGATACTTGTTTAAAGACCATTAAGAAATTTTCTTTTAAAGACCATTAAAAACTCGCTTTAATATATCCTATATACATTTAAAAAATAAGATACTGGTATCATTTTTAGAGTTTCATTGGGATATGACGTGAATTCAGTCACGTGATCAAATTCTTTAACGCCCGAAGGGCGTTATAGTAGATTTGATCACGTACCGACTTCATGTCATACCCCAATGAAACCCCCCCCCCAAAAAAAAAGATATCTTATTTCTTATATTTATATTTTACGGTTTTATTCACGTTACAAAGAAATATATGCATTATTTAGACTTTGATTTTGAAATGCAACTCGCTTAAAGTATCTACGACGTCATGTGACGTCATAGTCAGAACTTTCCAAATTTTTCGTGCAGTTTGCTTTCCATACGCAAAAATGTCTGATCATGTGACCAACTGCATGTCACTGAAAATTGAATTTCAATTTTATTAGCACTGCTATATATATAAGGAATGACACCAGCATATGTAAATACCAAAGTGAATGTAAATAATAAGTATAATGTTACTTATATCAAATTTCAGTAACTTATTTGAATTCATGGTGCCATAACTTACAATGCATTATGTGATCGTTTGTACAAAGACATCATTTTAAGATTTATCTCAATCCAATACCGAGTTAAAGTTGGAAAATAAAGAACATCATGATGAAATTATGAGGAGATGGGGGAAGGGAGTGGTGAGGGATTTCTGGTAGATTGTAAGACAGTAGGAGGGTAGGAGTAATACAAACATAAGAACATCATGAAAAGACTTCAAGAACAAATATACGTCGAACCTCCAAGTGCCGAAAATCTAGAAAGCGTTTTGAAAACCAACTTACCTTGACTTAAAACTAAATGGCCTAGGAAAAAGTAAAGTAAGAATAGTTTCATCTTGTATGACAGAGGATGTTAGCGCATGTATCAAATAAAATGCATCTTACGCACTTTTCTATGTAATTATATACTTTATACGTAATAACGACTAGTGTGATAAAAGAAAAATGCCACCAAATGACAAAATGACGCATCGTTATTGTATAAGAGGACAATGCACGAAGTGAGAAATACTGTAATAGAAGCATGTGTATTTTTCTAACGTCAGCGATACCGTCTCTCTCCATTCTTATAGGTAATTAAGGAAATATATATGAATCTAGATAAGATGCTAGCATTTGATAATTGGCATATGCAGCTAAGTCATGCAAAAAAAAAATCTTGGTTATCTATTATCCTCATTCATTATAATTAGATTTAGTTACATTTTCATCTAATAAGCACATTAAGGTTTCGTCAAAGGTCAACATGTCCAAAAATTTATTTTTACAATAGCCCCAAAACTATGTGAGGTATGAAGCTGAAACTTTTACAGTTTATAAATTTTTCATTGATTAACAGATAGAAAGTATCACTTTATAAAAAAAAAATTACTTGGAATAATATTAATTGAGAAAAATTCTTCTTAAAAATGCATATATTTTCAAAAAAAAAATACACCTAGTTTATTCCATGCTCTTAGTGAAAACCATCATTGCAGAAACAAAATATGTTTATCAATGAAGGGCAAGTTGTACTTGGATAGCCTCTGGAAAGTTGTTTTCCCTGTTTATTTTGTCCAAATGTCAAGACTTGAAAGTGAAAGTACATTGCAAATGGCCGATTCTATAGGGGTCTTGTCTTTATACATGTCATGCTTTCAATAACAGCCTTTCAGAGACCATTCACGCCCAACTTGCCCTTCAATGATAAACATATATTATTTCTACAATGTTGGTTTTCACAAAAAGGACAGAATTAAGCAGGTGCATTTTTCTTTAAATATGCACATTTTCTGATGCAATTTTTCTCAAATAATATCTGTTTTAAAATATTTATTATCAAGTGATACTTTCTATCTATTAATTAATGATATATTTATAAACTGTAAACGTCTTGACTTTATACCACACATAGTTTTGGAGCTATTGTAAAAATAATTTTTTAGACATGTTGACCTTTGACGAAACCTTAATCTTTCCGTTTCTCAATTGATAGCAACATGCTGCTTCCGTATTAGAATTATGTTGTTACTGTATAACAATTATACTGCTTCTTTGAGAGTGTTATCTCTGTTTATGTTGTGTTGCTTCTGAATTAGTTTTATGCTGCTTCTGTTTTAATGTTACGTTGCTTCTAGATTACTGTTATGCTGCTTCGGTATTAGTTTAATGCTACTTCTGTTTTAGTGTTACGTTGTTTCTGTATTAGTGTTATGGTGCTTTTGTATTAGTGTTATGGTGCTTTTGTATTAGTGTTATGCTGCTTCTTTATTGGTGTTATGTTGTTTGTGTGTTAGTGTTAAGCCTTTTCTGTATAAGTGTTATGCTGCTTCTGTGTTATTGTAATGCTGCTTCTGTAATACAGTTATGCTGTTTTGTATTATTATGCTTCCTGTCAGTTTGTCTCTATATAACCCATACCCTACTATTCTCGCATAGTGGTCTAAGGATTTATATGTGTGTTAGAAATAGTGCACGGCTTTATTTACTGAATAAAATTCTTCCATGCACATGCCTGGGATCGAACTCACTGTTTCTATGGCAGTGTTATGCTGTTTCTGAGATAGTGTTATCATGTTTCTGAGATAGTGCTATGCTGTTTCTGAGATAGTGTTATCATGTTTCTGAGATAGTGCTATGCTGTTTCTATGATAGTGTTATGCTGTTTCTATGGCAGTGTTATGCTGTTTCTGAGATAGTGTTATCATGTTTCTGAGATAGTGCTCTGCTGTTTCTGAGATAGTGGTATATGCTGTTTCTGAGATAGTGGTATGCTGTTTCTATGGCAGTGTTATGCTGTTTCTATGATAGTGTTATGCTGTTCCTATGACAGTGTTATGCTGTTTCTGAGATAGTGTTATGCTGATTCTGAGATAGTGTTGGGATTTTTAACGATTAGTTAATTAAACAACTCCACATACAGTACTTGTTTCAAAGAAAAGACTATTTATTTGTTGTCAAAAATACATGGAATTTTAAAATAATTAATATCATGAATTAGCTAGTAATATCTTTCTTTGGTGTTTATCCCTCTGAATTTTGTTGTTTCAAAGTCCAGTAGTCCAGGAATTTCGAATCTCTCTCCGAGTTTAGGTAGTCCATGCTTTTTTAATATGGCGTCCGCCTCTAGTCGAGCTTGGTGAGACACGGTACGTCTAGTTTCATTCAAACCAAGTCCACCGGCTACATTGTTATTACAGGGATCAACTCGGAACCCTTCCATGGCGTCCGACAGAAACTCCTGCCTCAGTTCCAAGACATCAAATAAGATGGAGAGAATTTTTTGTGGATTTTTCATCATTTCTTCGAACATGATTGCGATAACAGGTACCCCGGCGTCCACGTGATCGAGACACTGCGATATATTTGCTGCCCAAGAAGTAGCAAATATACCAACGCTTGTGAGATCTCTTCCGTTTTCAGTAGAATCCGTTCTTTCCAGTACATAGCAATAATTGTGATATAGAGATCTTCGAAAACAGGGCAAGACGGCTGACAGTACTTTACTGTCAATGATGTACTTTCCTACGATAGATATTGGTTCTTTTGTAAATATGTTAAGGTGAGATGTCACTGTTTTAAAGCTATTGCGATAAATATAAAGCTGATAAATCTGCGGGAAACATTTATAAACATCCGCCATTTGACAAGTACTGCAGGGTCTTGTTTTCACGAAGAACATCTTGGCACGGTCATCTTGTTTACAGAGTAGTCGTAGTGCGCTGGGTAGTAACTGTTCGTATTCACCTTTTCCAAATTTGTTTGACTTTTTCAGGAATGCAAGACTAGTTAAAGCATCTGGGTCACTGATGACGGCCATTCCCGGAAGTTGTCCAAACACTCGACTTAACAGAGCAGCACCACAACTTCCGGTAGAGGACATCCAGATGATTGGAACTTTTGGACGGCCAATGTCTTGGGCAATTTTATGAAATGATGCCAAAGGCATGCTTATAACACTATGAGCTTTTTCGAACTGCTTCATATAGAAGGATCTTGTGTCAAATTGTTTATAAAGATTAACGTCTTCTGGTATCTCGACAAAGAAGGCCTCCTCCTTGGTTATACAGTACAGTGAAATGTTGGGCTTCAATACATAATTAGGATGTTTGAAAAACTTATGAGTTAAAATGAAATCGGAAGGCTCCGACACAGAGGACATGATAAGTTTTCGCCGCCATAACACATTATGCACATGCGCACTATGCTTAAACTGTATTCCACTTTTAGCGTCCTTCCGCGTGCGCTCGACTCCTGTCACCGCCCAAGTAAATTTCTGCATTGTTGTAACAATCGAACGCGCGATTTTATATAGGAAGTAAGTGAGAAGAAGAATGATGTACTCTCGTGCTTTGTTTAAGGCTTTGCTGAGGTTTTCTAAGTGATTCTTGTCCGATTTCTTGGAATCCATGTTTGAACTGGTCATCTGAAACAAAAGTAAAAAAAAAATCATTATGTTAATCGCGTTAAATTACATTTACATGTGTGGTTTACATACAGAAAAAATGTATTTAAGTTTTGGAGTCAGTTTAATAACATTATAATGACTTTATAATTTTTCACCTGAACACATATATTACAACTTGTAGCAAGCTAGACTAAGTGCAAAGTATCATATACTTCCAACACTAAATGCGTTCCATATATACTTGCATGTATTTACAATCCAAATATTTCTTTACCTTTTTCAAACATAAAGAAATTTCCCCACCCCCACTTTACCTCAGAGTTGTGCCATTTGAATGTACCCTTCTTCATTTTAGTTCATATGAAGCTATGTCTGATCGCGTGAGAGAATTAGATCATATACTCATATATACTCTATAAACTTAATACACTGAATAATATAGATTTTTAGTATTTGAAATCCATACTTGTATATTCATTTCCACTTATATGTACACGAACTGAACATTACTATTACTTTAATTCAAACAAAGAAATTAAAAGTGAGATATGGTTGAATTCAAAATTTGAATTTACTGCCACCCGGTAAATTCAGAATTTTATTTACAACATGACGGTCAACTAACAATGGAGGCACAAGATGACAAGAACACGGAATTACTTGACATGTAAAATAATGTGTTTACTTCTATCAAAGAGAGGTGCATTAAAAAAGAGTTAAATTATTATCAAGTAGACTTTGAATCATGTCATTTAATAAACACTGGAAGAATGAATTATTGAGTTTTAGGTAGCACATAAATCATGGTTCTTTGCTGGTAGGGAGAGAAATAGTTGCAAATGCACATGTCCTGTCGCTATATTGTCGCTTTCACAGAAATTCCTACTTAAAAGTCCACATTTTAAGATAAATGACCCTTTGCACTAAAACCATTGACCACGGAGACATTAATCACTTTACTCCTTCCGGATATATATGCATGTATAACCTTCGTGAGAAGGTAGGTATGTATATATAAATGCCGGTAATTAATAAACTAGACTTGTAATATCAGGATACAAATCATAATTAAGAAGTTTACAGGGATTAAGAAGCATGTGTTTGTAAAGTTCTCAATTCATTATCTTTCTGTCATCTGAGAGAGAGAAAAGGGGGGGGGGGGTTATAAACCCAGAAAAGAATTAGTTGATATATTTTAGAGTTCGTAAATTGCTCTCTCTGAACTATGAATCTTTTTTGTAAAGCGTATATTTAATCTTCCAGGCATTTTGCAACTGCTTTATAATGATTAATTATAATTTCCAAATAAGCCAAGTATATATAATTTCAAAGCATTGTTTAATAACATATACTATAAAAGATTAAATACGTGCACACCTTAATATAAAACAAAAAATGTATTATTCAAAATAATATACTTCCCTCTACTCACATGTAGAATTTTTCAATGCTTCAATTGTACAAGTCAAATAGGCAAATAATTATTTTGTATAAATACTCGTATTGTTCGGTTTGTTTTGTTTTGTTTGTTTGTTTTTTAGCGAATAAAAAATGTTTATATAAAAATGCTTCCATTAATCTAAAATATAAGATAACATTCCATTATCTCCGTGGGGGCTAAGAAAGGGGACCCATGCGATTGAAATTCATTTATCATATGACATCCTGTCTATCTTGTTCCTACCTGCTTTAAAGCTACTTTCAATTAATCAAACACTAAATGGCGATACTCAGACCTACATTTATACATGTATCTAGCTACTTATAATTATTTTAATATGAAATGGCGATACTTAACCCCAATATACTAAGTATTGGTAAAAGACGCCCTTAGAAAATATTCTATCATTAACTAGGTTTTATATAAAAAAAAATCTGATTGACCTCTTACTTACGAATTTTAAGAGATTTTTTTAGCTTCGACTGTTCATAAGATTGAATTGAATACATGTATAGGAGGAAGTTTTCGAAAGTAATAGTAAGAGATGAATGCCAAAATCTGGTTTCGATCAAGAATAATTTAGATAGATTGAAAATAAAGATAATACTACAATTAATTTTGTATTTTATAACTTAAAACCTCAAGTATTCAGAAGAAAGACCCTGACAATTATAATTTGATAAATGATCTTTCATATTTTAAGAGAATGAATTATCCCTTGATGTTTCAAAAGAAAAAAACAAAACAAAAATCATTGTTGTTTAATGGGAAGCACAATTAATGTGACGTTTAAAATTGATCATGATTTGTAGTTACTGTAAATCCATCAGATAAATAATGAAATATCAGAATTCATCCAAAATTGTTTTTCCCCTAAAAATAGATAAATAGATAAATATTTTTAAAAAGCAAGATTTTTTTAAAATTATCTATATAAGGTGCATGAAATGTCTAGTGTATTTTATTTTTGGATATTTTAATATAAAAGGATCTTTTGCGTGTACATGAATACGTACTAACGTTTAAAGGGATATTAACTTTATACAACTCAATTGAATGCTATCGTTTTTACGTTTTTGCCGACAGATATCGCCCACTTTCTTTTACAAAACTTCTCCATAACAAACTTCTGTAATTAAAAGACAGGTGATTTGGGGCCGATGCCCTTGCCCGTCATAGGTTTTCTAGTATGGATGATGGGTGTCTCCGTGTGTCGGTCCCTTACATATGTTTTAACATAAATTCAATCTAAGAAGTACACAGGATGCTTAGTAGTTAGTTCATGAAAACTGTGGGGGTGTCGGTGTTCCAATTAAGCAGCTGTTTGAGAGTTTTAATCGTTTCTTTGATAATTTTAGGAACATGTCGTTTCATTCAGACTTTATAATTAGTCTACTTGTTACTTAAAGATGGTTATTATGTGTGGTAACTGGTTTCATATATTTTTTTAGAAGTGCTGTATATATATTATTTATGCTATTTCGGCCTTATCTATATTGTAGTATGTTACTCTTCATCTTCGAATATACGTGTGCATGTATACAGAAAGAAGATATAACTCTCTCTCTCTCTCTCTCTCTCTCTCTTAAATCAATCAGACCCCTGTAATAAAATATTTTGAATCTCCACACCTTTAGAAAATAAACAGAAAGACCCTAACAAGATAGCAATATGTATAAATGAAGAATATAAAATTTATGACATTCAGATATAATTTAAATCGGCGACTGAACTTTAAATGGGGATCATACCCTGTTACCCTCAACACCCTGCGAACTTAATCAATATCAGTATCTGTTATGGTCATTCTAAGGGGAGACATCGAATATAAGTGTATTTTATAACCATATTTCTAGTTTTTCATATTTTTTAAACTGACATACTGTATTCTTTTTTTTTTTATTTAGGTTTGAATTTATAGGAAAATCTAGATAGGTAAAGTGTATGGCATGGACGCTTGATCAAAGAAAAAAAACAGTATGCGTTAAATTTGTTGAGACATTTCAAGACAGCCCTGGAAAACCCGATTCAATAAAACCGACACACACTCTCTGACCATCATAGAAGAGCCAGAAATGGTATCTTCCATGTACTATACAGATTTATATATACATTTAAAAGAAATTAATCCCAAACTCTTTTGGAAAAGGAAACATGTCCCGTCTTTGCAGACTCTTAGATATCTACAATGTCTACCTGTTCTTATGTCCTGGACAGAACAGGTGCCCCTCCCCAACCTTAGTAGCAGGTAATGGGATACCGCTATCAGATTCTAAAACTGAATTCTTTGACATTGTAAGAACGTGTCTGTCATGATCTTCCTTTAAATGAAAGTCGTCAGGGAGGAGCAGTATATAAACTCAAAGCTGGGAATCCCCCTCCCCATTTCGCGTTTGTGTAACGGCCAAACCCGAACAAACATCGCTAAATTTATGGTTAACAACCACAGGGGCAGACAAAAATCATTCATTTATAAAGGCATTAGTAAAACGAATATTTACGTAGGTGAGAATAGCAACAAAGGAATTTCGTCAAGGTAATATTGCGTATCTTTTATACAATCTCATTTCAATCACATTCAGAATTTTGCTGTATCCTGATTCACAGTAATGTTTTGTTAGAGTTTTGTTCGATAATCAGTTACGATCTATCAAACTTGTTGTCACTTATGTTAACGAGATGATATCATCATAGAATTATTTCCGAAATTTAAAGATATAAAAAAAAAGGACAGTCATTATATTCTGCATGGTCGTTTAATTTTGCACAGGGGCTTGCTCCCTGTGAGTTTAATAATTATTTATTTTAAAAATCATAACTATACGGTAATACTAAAGCAACACGGGCATACTCTTTGGCCTGGCCTCTATCTTGGCCTCTAATTTGGCTTCAAACCAAATTTTGGCCTGGCCTCAAAAGTTGGCCTGGCCTCAGATTTGGCCTCTGTAAAAATTTTTGGCCTCAATTTTGGCCTCACTCAAAAATTAATTTCTTTTCAAAATTTGATTGATTTCATTGATTTTTTATTGGTTTCATTTTTTCAAAGATTAAGCAGGTAAATGATATATTTCTGTTGATATGTAGATGTGAACATTAAAATAATAATACACTACCACCAATCTGATTTATTTTATTGATTTTCTATTGATTTGCAATTCTGAAGACTTTTCATAGTATGATTGATGATTTTACAAAGTAAAACATTTTGAAACATCAATTTAAATTATCAAGACAACAAAGAAATCGGGTAGTAATATTACCTAAGACTAAAAAGAATTTTAATTTGCTATATAAAGTATCACTTGTTACATGTCTTATAAACTCTTTATTCAGAATTAAAAAAAATCTTTTAGATAACGTGGACTACTTTTACAAACTGATAGAAAAAGTGTCAATACTATGATATGCAAGTAATTGGCCATATTTTATGATAGGGTTCTAATAGTCTGGTTGATAGGAAATGTTTTACAGCACAAACGTTAATAAACTATCATCAAACTCAACTTTTGTTTTGATAATTGTAGATAGTGAAAGTTTTAGCAGGAAATTCTTTACAAATCATGAATGGCTTAACAGCCTATGCACTTATACATTTCATTGCTGATTAACTTCAACCTTATCTCCTGTCAAGAACCATGCTGCAGAATTTTTTGTCATTAAATATCCAATTACAGTGTTACCGCACAGGAACAGAAAGTTATAAATTATCTGATAATGTTATTTATATTAGTTTTTTAAATACCAACTGTTCTGAGATTAAAGTACATATGAATTTTTAACAGAGTAATCAAATCAGTATAATATAAATATTTTGGTATCTGCATTGGTATATGGTAGTATATTTATTTAAAAATTCTTTGGTTCCTGTATTCATATATCACATTTAAGATGATGCAGGCATAATAGTAACACAACACTCTACAGTGTGTAAAAGGTGATGATTCATCACTTAACAAGTGGGAATTTTTCAAAGCTATTAATGACATTTGATATTATTTAGAGATTTTTTCAATGTGCACGATTTGGAAAACACAAAATAAACTCTGATACTTTTTTTCTAAATAATTAAGCAAGAGTGTCGGTAGTGTCAGTATGAAATACCTGTCATCAAATCATAAAATGAAATAAGTGTACACTGATCGATTGATAATCAATAAAATAAATCATATTGGTGGTAGTACATGATTATTTTTAATGTTAGCATTTACATATCAACAGAAATATATTATTTACCTGCTTAATCTTTGAAAAAATGAAACCGATAAAAAATCAATGAAATCAATCAAATTCTGAAAAGAAATTAATTTTTGAGTGAGGCCAAAATTGAGGCCAAAAATTTTTACAGAGGCCAAATCTGAGGCCAGGCCAACTTTTGAGGCCAGGCCAAAATTTGGTTTGAAGCCAAATTAGAGGCCAAGATAGAGGCCAGGCCAACTTAGAGGCCAGGCCAGGCCAAAGGGGCCAGGCCAGGTTTTAGAGTATGCCAGCAACACGTGTTGTATGTGATTTTTAAATAAATATTTAAGCAAGCCCCTATGATTTAAGTTGATATTTATTGCAAATAGAGTTTAAGTAATTGCATGCGTCGCCTCTCAACTGTTATGTAACATGAAAAACATTGCCATAAATTACAGTTAATATATTTAAAAGATAGATATATACCAAAAATATCAAAATGCATATTTGGTACGTAAATTTTGATAAACTGTGCAATACCCAACGATTAAATATTTATCGACTGAATTATTATGACATTTAAAAGTTTTTGAAAAATATTTAAAAATCCTAATTAAACATTTAAAGTACAGACACAGGCCTTACCCGTATACAAAGCTGTTATCCTGAACCACAGGGGAAGTTATAAAGTATTTTACGATGAAAATTCTGTGTCAACACAATAAAAGTTCTTACCTTCAGACTTTGTCGGGCGTACTGCACACCTTCGTTAGAAATGTCAAATGTACATGAGGAAAACTAATTTTTCTGGGTCAGCCCATGTGAAGTTGAGGCTTTACGGTGGGTGATATTTTAAAGTGTTTGGTGTATAGACGCCATAATGCCTAAGCAAATATAAAAAGTCGTATTTTGAAAAATGACCCGTCACTTATACTGCTAGCGCGGTGCATCCGACTGCGAAGTATTTCATTCTGAAATTATCATGTAATTACTCACATAATGCGTAAAGCTGCATTTAAATCTGTTTTGTTAGCTAACAGTACTAGTATAAAAGTTATATTTGATTTCAAAAACGGTATTTTTCTGTAATAAGCTTCTGAGAAACTGTTTACAAAAAGGGTTTAAATGCGCTGCACTTAGAAAATAAAATCTCTCTCTCTCTCTCTCTCTGAGTTTACCTCCCTCTGAATTGTTTTCTCTGAATTGTCCAACTGATGATCAATTTAATTCTGATGATTTATGCAATCATATAAGTATATTTCAATAGATCTAATTTCATGGTTTCAAACGTCAATGATTTTCTCAAAGTCCATAAAATGTTTCTTAATGTTTAGAGTCGCTTTAATTAATCTTTCAAAAAACCTTTTGAGATCTATAAGTATTTATATACTCCGTGGTGGATCCCGAATTATTTTAAGTAGTGCATGGGCGCAACAGGCCTGGGGTACGGGACGACTTTCAGCCCCCTCTTCCTCGGTGGCTCCAGGACAGAGTCCTTATGAGAGTTTAGTGGCCGAAACCCCAAGAATCCCTTAGGCTAGCTGAATTTCTTTTTAAGATAAGTTTTGTTTAATTATTTAAGATTTACTTTATGTGTTATTAAGGAGAAGTGATTACTTGTCTTACTTTAAATTTGGACCACGAATAGTGGGAAGGGTGGGGTGTCTGACACCCTCTCGATCCGCCACTGCCGCTCTAAAACAGTAGCCCTACTATGAACGTTTGTTTCAACTGCAAAATCTAAACAGCTAAATGAAATAAACTAATAATAACAGCGTCCAGTTTTGATGCTTGGAAGGGGAAAAAAGAAATTTTAAAAAAAAATGAGAGAAAATAAGCAAATAATGTAAATTTTATAAATAAAAAATATGCATATGCTGTGAAAATCAAAGAAAGGAGCTTTGAAGACCGAAGTGCAAAGATGCGAAGGCGAGAGTTCGAAGGAGCGATACTAGTGCATGTAGTACCTCTCTACTAATGATATTTGAGAATTTTCACTCTCGTACACCTCGGGTGTGATTAGTGGAGAAATACGCATCAACTCAAGTCATTGATTTATCCACCGAAAACTGCCTTGTCACTCATTTCACATTTCGCTCTGCATATTTTCTTAATTTGCCTAATTCTCCATTGTAAATAGCTTTTTATTACAACCTTATGTTAGAAGGCTTTGAAAGCAAGAACAAAGTGTTGGGCGGGCCACAATGTAAATCATACTTTAAATGTATGACATTTGAAAGAAATTCAAATAAGATCACATGACTGAATCAGCAAGATGGTAGAACATCTTCGACATCGTGATACGATGGCGAGCCACCTGAGGAGCTCCGATTGAATCATTTTAGCACACTGTCTACCATCGGCTCATACATTCATTCTGTCGTTGGCTCGCGTAATCACAGTGATAAACACAAGAAATAGTGGCGTTTGTTTTAATTCATTATAATTCAGTTTTTATGTTTTGTCTGAGTTTTGAGATAGATATTTACTAAATCAATCCAGAATTATTTAATTTGAAACAATTCTGCAAATATCACGTTTTATATGTTATGTCAAAAATCTTTGAGCCCATTGAAGAGGTGTCTGAGAGAGGATACGAACGACACTTCTGCATGGGAGATTGATTTTGGTACTGTCACACTAGTCTAGCGCATGCGTACCAATACATGTAACATCTTAGAGAAGATAAAAATTGGCGCAAAAGAGGCAAAGGGCGAAAAGCTTAAGGTAAGAGTGCGGTAAATTAACAGAGGTTTGAATGGAGCGTCAGGCGAGAATTGCCGATTGAAAATCAATAGCATTATGACATGTGAAATGTGAAACCATAAAGTACTTTATTTGCAAATAAAACACTTTTTGTTCATTTTCACTGAAAAAATGCAAAAAAAAATTCTTATAAGATAATTGAGATTTTTAATTTTGGACTTGTAACGCTGAAACTTGTGTTAACGCGATGTTTTGAAAACCTATAAAATTATACTCTAATGTTTCATTTTTTTTAAAGAAATATGGTAAATAATATACAAGTTAGTTGAAAATATACTAGATATAAAATGTATTTTTTGTACACCATTTATAATACAATTTTTCGAAGTCCAAAAACAATATCAAAAGCTTCCTTCACTCGAATAATTTCGTTTACTATTGAACATCGACGAATGCAAATATAGCTGACTCCGCCAATAGTGTGACGTAATAATCACATCATAGCGGTCCAACATCTCAGGCTAACCATCTCACAAAGGTGTCAAACATTGATGATTTTAAACATTCAGTAAATTCCATATCCACATCGAATGTCCAGACAGTGGAAAATAAAATGTTCGTCCGTTGGTTGGTGTATATTGGTTGCGACAAACGTTCTGAACATAAGATTTCAGAGCTAACAAAATCCTTACAGATACTCCACGGAGTCCAAGATGGGTATTTCAATCTGTTAATCACGAGACATGTTCCTCTGCTGACGACCCATCCCTACTTTCCGCCTCTCTGATCGATGATCCGCCCCCGTGTGAATCTGTTGAGAACGAGTGTCTTTTCCCCTCACTATCCCCATGTCCTGATTCACTACTCTGAGTATCTAAATAAAATGTGGGTTTATTAACGTCTTCACTGCTATCCGTAACCCCGGAAACAGGGGGTACACTCACTATAAAGGACTGGATTCGGCTTCGTAACAAGTACGTCTTTTCAATACATTTCCTTATCACTAGTGAACAACATACTATGAATCCAAGAGCGAAGATGACAATGATGATTATGATGCAGGCCAGGGAACATCTTTGTACGTCGGAAACAGGATCTGGGAAGACATCGGCTACAAATGAGAAAGAAATACTAGTAAAGGATAATGAGTTTAAAGAACTCTTCTTTAAAAATAAAACCCAAACAATTCTAATTCCACTATCTTTCTCTATCGTTCTCCCTCTCTCACACGCTTTCTATTGAGCGTTAAGTCTCAAGTGAATTTTTGTAGGACAGAATCGGATCATTTCAGATGAAAATGGCGTTTCGAACGGAACTGCGCCATTTTGTGACGTAGTAGAAAACCCTCTTAGGAACTGGGAGGGTGGAAGTACCTGCACGAATGATTTTTTTTTTTAGCTGCTGATGTTGTACAAAATACTTGTCGAATGTTTGGTCATTATGGTCGTAATTATAGAGCCTAATTATTCCTCCAATGGCTAGTCGCCAAAGACAACTTGTATAATTGCATTGTTTTTGCTGAGTAATTGTTCGGTGCGGTGATTGCACCTTTCTGAAGAATGAATATGAGAGACATTTCCTCGATCCTATCGTTTTCAAAAAGTAGAATATACACGGTATCAAGCTCTGTCTTGGGGATTCAATATTCCTCTCGTTCTTAGGTCGTTAAAAAGCAGTGATTGCAGAGTCATTGTATGATCGTAGAAGTTGATCACAAAAAATGACAGTTATTACTTAAATATATTTAAAATATCAGCAGAAAAAAAACACCCACCGAATGTTGTGTTTTCGATTTCTATTTGCTGGGTCAAGGTCGTATTTTCCAAACTCAGTGTCATTTTTTGAACTCACATCATCCGAAGCTGAGAGAAAAAAAAACTAGGATAAGTACAATTTATGTAATTATTTGTATTTTTAAAATAGTATTTAAAACGACTGCTTTCTTGCAAAATTGAATATTAGCATCTGATATGATCAGCAACAGATATTTCAACGATTCTATTGCAATACTGCAATTATTAATAGTTTGTTAAAAATTGAAAAATGAATATTCGCAACAACAAAAAATCCGTTACCCTCAACAAATATTAATATTGCAAAAATAATTTTCTTTCAATTCATATTGTACATAAATAAGCACTCACCTTGCTATGATATAATCTCACACATATACACATGTATAATTATGTATGTGGAATAGCATACTTAGTCGTAACTCGTGTGTTCTGCGTATTAATGTCGTACATGCTCGCATATCAAAAAAAATGTGCTGAGATTCCAGAATCATATCTCTCCTTGGTTCCGGGGCTTATGATATGCATTGTAATCTTTTCATCAATTGATCGTGCTTTTCTGTTGCTTTTAGAATTGCTACAAGTTGATTGAGATCTTGACCCCTTTCTTAACATCAGTTACCGGTCCTGCAGGCATTAATTAGCAGAATGTTTACAAATACTTGTACTATAAGTAATTGTATATTTATAGTATTTGTTAACAAGAACACATAGTCGTGCAGAGATGAAAATTCGTGTACCTGACTTCATAAAACAAATGGAGCATGTAAATAGATCTACAAAGACATTAGGCTGCTTTATCCTGATTTATAAAACCAATTAGTTCAATAGTTATGGAATTTACAAAAAAGTCATGTATCTAGGTATATCTGGATTATCACAATACTCAGTGTATCTATTGTATGCATAAAAATGTACAAAAATTGCTTTCTCTTTTTTTTTTACCCTTGCAAAAATAAATAGGCTGCAGCAGTACTCTCAGTGATATGAAGTACCATTAGTGAGTAATTAATGTGCCATACAACTAGAATACTGATGTGTCTGTTATGTAATAACGATCATGGCTATGACACTTTATGTAATTTTGTTGTCAATCTTCATTTTCAAAGACTTTTTTTTAATATGTCTATCATTTCCATAAAAGAGATAATAAAACTCAAGGATAAACACAATGTTGTTTTGAGCTTTACTTCTGCATAATAATCATTCTCTAAAACTAAAGTTTCTGCAACTTTAATAGTAAAACTACGATTGTAGATATTTCTTTGAATTAGGATTTTTCATTATTACATGTATATGAATTTTATTGAAAACTGCTACTTTTACGTTCAACATCTGATGGTGTGATAAAAAAAATATAAGCACATCTTTTTAAAAATACCAATGGGTGAGTACTTTGAAATAGCTGTTATAAAGTACAGCACATGACAGTAATAACATACTATAAAAGTGTATATCAGAATGGTTGTTTTAGGGAGCACAGTAAGTATTCACTATACATTACCTTTACTTTTGTCTTTCATTGGTGACCAATTTCCAAGAATTTAAAATTAAAACTGGGAAAAACTTGTTTCAAGTCACTTATATATATATAGAGGATATTCAATGTTTTGTAGTTGAATGAAATAGATTTTTGATATTTTATATAGTGAAAATACAGCACAGTGATTCCATATTCAGCTACAAAACATTGAATTTTCTGTTTATTACATTTTTAAAAAAAATTCTTTGATTTTTCTTCAGCCTCTGTCTTTTTGTTATACAGTCAAAGGCTCGTGACGTCATAGTTGAGCGGTTGAGACGTCATAGCTAAGTGAGATGAAAACACTGTAAACATGGATTTAGCAACATATTTTTGGTAATTTTGACAGTTTTATTCTCTGTCAGAATACGCAGTCTATTTATTTTCATCTATCATATTAGATCAAGGAAGTTTTCTTTACAACAATCATCGTTATGGGAAGGGAAATCGAGAGTTCTCTCGCACTTCTGATATTGGTCACACTGTGACAGGATGTCATTTTGATATCCTTTCACAGTGTGACAGGATATCATTTTTATTCAATGAATAAATTACAGTATTTCACGGGTAAAAATGTAATAAAAAATGTTATTTCCTATCTAGCTTGTAACACGAGCTTTGATTGGTTACAAAGTCGGGTGTAAATATCTTTATTTCCTATCTAGCTTGTAACACGAGCTTTGATTGGTTACAAAGTCGGGTGTAAATATCCGTGCACCCGACTTGAGCCGGGTGTAAATAAAACGTGACGTCACAGTGCATACATTCTCAGTACGTAGTTATCTAATCGATAGATTGAGACACACTCTGATGTTTACGAAGTGTGTTCAAGGGTGTACGGGGATTTACCCCGGGTTTTATTCCATTCACCCTGAGGCCTGCGGCCTGCGGCCTCAGGGTGTATGGAATAAAAAACACACACCTGGATAACTAATAGTGCACCCGACTTGAGCCGGGTGTAAATAAAACGTGACGTCATAATGCATACATTCTCTATGATAAAAGCTAAATAACATGACGTCACGATGCATTGTAGTACATAGATCTATAGATTGAGACACACTCTAAATGTTTACAAAGAATTTTTATGGGTACAAAGGAAATAAATTCGGCCTCAGGGTGTATGGAATAAAACCCGGTGTAAATCCCCGTACACCCTTGATTGAACCTGGATAACTAATAATATACACAGGATGTTACCTGAGTGAATTACCTGTATGCGTTTTCCTACGACATTGTAAATCTATTACTCTAAATGTTTACAAAGCATTTTTATGGGTACAAAGGAAATAAATTCTCTAACGCAAAACCCATTGTGATAACTAATATTTTCACAACAAATAAAGAGAATATCAGATTGACAATATCCAGTAATAATTTAATTTTATTTGTATATCACATGGGCATAACATTTTGTATAATCTGGGGATAAAGGCTTAATCATCATATCCATGCAAATTTCCATTCGGATATGGAAAAAATGTTAATAAATGTCACTTTAATCAATTAACCTCATGTAAACAAACATCAGCTAGAATGAATCAGTCATTACCTCCCCTCGCTTCAAATCACTTCCGTTACTACGGTTGTATTATTGCGCGGTAAATTTGAACTTATAAAAAGCAACACAATTTTACATCAAAAGTTGTTTAATTATTTTAAAATTAAATTATAAGGAAAGTATAATCTGGTTTGGGTCAGTTTACGCTTTTTTATAATCCGCTTCGCGGATTATAAAGGAAAAACATAATAAAGTATAAATTAAAAGAGGAAAAACATAATGTATAATTAAAGTTTAATGAAACATCAGGAAGAAAACACAAAGGCATAAGCTATACAGATATACAACATCACAAAATCTATTGTGAATGCGACTCGTCTTCCTTTGGATTTTACACACTGTCCGCTGTAGGAAGTCCATGTTCCTAGAAAAAGAAAAAAAATGAAAAGTAGTACACAAAGCAAAACTTAAGTCAAGTTAATATTTTTAAAAGAAAAATTTCGATTTAAAATCTGATTTTCACTAAATAAAAAATAGAGTAAGGAAGTTATTTGTACCTTTAACAATAGGAGAGAGAGAGAGAGAGAGAGTCTTTAAATGTCTTTTTTGGTATCCACTTTACACCATGTTTTAATACACTTAACCATCGTATGATACATGTACACTTGAGAGAATCTTACACTTTACCGTTGTATAGAAAAGTAACATGATCTTTCACTTTACATGTATACTCTATCGACACATTGTACATATAACAACTTACCGTACATATATGCACCAGGTCTTGATATGTTAGAATTGCCATGGGTACAAATTGTGCACCATTATAAGCAGGTATATTTTTGTGTTCATATGAAGCACAATCTATTCAAAATCTTATACATGAGGAGGAGAAAACACTTGCTGTGGCCTTCGATCAACCCAACATTTAGATATATCGACGACGTATTATCAATTAACAACTTTTACTTCCGTTCAAATGTCGACTTGATACCGGTATATCCCAGTGAGCTTGAAATAAAAGATGCCACAAAGTATAATACATCTGTTTCATATTTGGATATTTTAATAGAAAAAGACGTAAATGGTAACGTTAACATAACAGCAAAACCTTATGATAAACGTGATAACTTTAACTTTTCAACCGTCGACTTCCCTTACTTATGTAGCAGTATATCCTTAGCAACTGCATATGGGATATTGTTTCTCTCATGTGATTCAATATGCAAGAATACAAAAATTTCTAAAACGAGACAAGCTACTCACAAACAAGTTGATGAAACAAGAATATCAGCAACTTTTAAAGTAATCATTTCGCAAGTTCTAAGGTGGATACAATGACCTTGTCACCAAATCCAATCTATCATTAAGTTAAAACTAAACGCCATAACTTACCCAGCTGAACATGTGAAACTTTTTGTTTGTCTTCTACAAAATGAAGAAATAGAAAAAAAATCAGCAAATGATTAATATTTTATTGGAGGATTTTGTAGTTCACTTTGATTACATTTTTTGTGATTTCTGTTTTTTCCACAAGAATGTAGCATTAATTAGCAGTTAAAATTCATAATTCTGTAAATATAATCATACCTGTAAAATAAATAGAAATGTCCTTCCCAGCAGAATCAAGAGTGAGATTTATTTGGTAGATGACTTGACCATTCCGTTTAACGTTCAGGCTGTATTCCCCTAAGAATGCCGTTCTGTTGTAAGTTTGACCGGAAGTGGTGCTTTGTTTGATGGTAGACTTCCAGTCTCCATGAACCAGATCCAAAAACTTCTGACCCGCGGCATTTGGCTATACAACGTAAACATCCACAGGGTTTTATCATTCAAATTTGGTCTGATTTTCCATATATGTTATGATAATCAATTATGTCTTGGACAACCTGCATAATGTAGCCCTCTCCGATTTTTTTAATCTGATGTTTTATAGATAGGGCTACAATTCCTAAGCATTTCCGTAATGGTGCAAATACTTTCTTTTTTAAATAGGGGCGACTAGAGGCAAAATAAATTGTTTTTACATTCAACTTACTTCTAATAAATTTTTATTCACTGTCAACAACATAGCCCGTTAAATGCGAAAAAGCTTGTAAAATAACTCTGCGTGTTTACCAGTCGCTCTACTCAGAAGCCATGACGTACTGCGACTTTCGCTTGAAATTTAGAACTTAATAAAGCAAATGTCGGTGTTTATAAATGATTGTGCTGACTTGTATCATAAAAACGTCGATAAATAAAACCATTTCAAGTGTTATTTTTACGCAAACAGCGATATTTATGCTTAAAATAAGGGAATTCCTAAAAGATCCACTCCTATAGAACCTAAATTCTCATTGGATGTCCCAAAATACAATCTATAAAGGTCAGTAAACATGGCGGATAAATTCAAGTTGTGATGTTGACATACACGAAAAATAACCCATATATGGATCGTTCTGTATATTTTTGGATTGATTTATGTCTTGGATAACTATATTTTTGGAGTCAAGGTAAAAAATGTTAATAAAATAGCCATTTAATGACCATTTGAGCCGAAATCCGTGCGGGAGCGAATCAATCCCGCAGCTGCACCATTACGGAGATCCTAAGGAATTGTAGCCCTCTCCAGCCAAAAAGAGGGAGAGGACTACATTATTGCAGCTAGTTTTGTTAGGAAAATGAAATCATAACAATAAAGGATACATCAGAAACACACACACACACACACAAAATTAAAACAGAGCGAATACGAAATAGAAAAAAAAGAAATTATGGAACAAAAGTAGATTGTTAGGCAGTACCTTTAGGTCTGGCCCGTCAAACAGATTCTCGTTGGGGTGCCAGAGAGACTCGTTCCAGAAATGCCACAGAATAACCCCGCCCACTGACGGGTGACTGTAGAACATAGTCAGGAGTTTCTCCAGAGCCCCAGCTTTCTTGACGTCATCAGGTTCGTCCACCGTCAGCTCCGTGGCCCAGATTTCTAGCCCAGCCTCTGACAATTTGTCCAATCTGTACTAAGTTCAATTGGTATCATAAATGCGTTTCAAGTAAATGACGCATTATAGGTATATTTTATATATCTTTGCATAAATAATGGCGTGGCAATCCTCACACATCAGTAAAGTATCATATCCTATCGGATGAAATCATAGGAAACATGTATTTCAAATGATCCATTATGTACAGAAATTGTATTATACTGACTTATACTATAATATCTTTAATTCCTATTTTAGCATCATTCTCCAAATATATAAATCATATAGAATCTGTTCAAACACCAAATTAAAATTACCTTTATAACATCCATATCAATATCAGTGGTATAAAAATGACTCTGAGCCCCAATGCCGTGAACAGGTACGTTATTTTTCAAGAATCGCACAGCTTGGTTTTTGATGGCCTGGAAAGAATTTTAATCTTTAATTTGCATATGAACATCAAACAAGCATGGGGAGGTCTGTTTCTGGTTTGTGAAAGTCTTTTAGCCTTATTTATGTGAGGTCTGGTTTGGATATGTGTGTGATCTGTGGTGAGATCTGTTATGTGCCTTATTTTGGTGAGGTCTGGTTTGTATGTGTTATGTGTTCAGTCTGTTTTATGTGCCTTATTTTGGTGAGGTCTGGTTTGGGTATGTGTTCAGTCTGTTAGTCTTACTGTGGTGAGGTCTGGTTTGGGTATGTGTTCAGTCTGTTAGTCTTACTGTGGTGAGGTCTGGTTTGGGTATGTGTTCAGTCTGTTAGTCTTACTGTGGTGAGGTCTGGTTTGGGTATGTGATAAATCTGCTAATCTTACTGTGGTAAGGTCTGGTTTTGGTATAATTGAGTAGTCATTCAGGAACAGTTTAGTTTCCGGTTCCTGTCCGTGGATCCACTGGAACATCTTTGGTGTGATATCCGGATCAGTGGTGTTACGCTCAAACCAGTCACCATGGAGATTTTCATTATTAACATCCCAGTGAGCAAGTCTGAGGATGTAAAGGGAATGCTCTGTTTCGTCAAACGTTATGTTTTTAATTTAATTATATAAAGCTCATGAATATTCATTTTCAAGCTTTTTTTTTTTTTTTACAAAGCTTTGGTTTTTTTTTAGTTGGAATTCTTTATCTTAACGTTATTTATAATCTTCATGTTATAAACGTTTGAAAATGACGTTTTTCATTTGACTCGCCTTGCTTTAGTGTTGTTTATGACTTCCTGTACATGTGATTTCATTTCCGCCACCAATTCTGTGGGTGACATACCATAAAGCCAGGAATTCACAAATTTCTCAACACCCCAAAACATATTGTGACCACGTGACTCTACTCTAGAAAATGAAAGGCATTATACATCCATTAATGATTGGTTTATTTGAGAAAAACTGAAGTTCATTTTTATATGAGTTTACCCATGGGCTTCCAATACGTCTAAGGCGGCCAGTGATAAGGAATAATCACTTTTGTCCTATAAAAACAAAAGGACGTTGAATCAGAATAAGGTATTTGTGCTTTCATACTCTTTCTTTCTATATTACTTAAAATTAAGTTAAAATTATTCTTTTTAATGGATAAAATAAATCTTGAATATCAGTGTAGTTTTCATCATACCTGTATTCTCTCTATTCCATACCATTTCAGTTTGTTTGCTATGACTGCCCAGTTAAAATGTCTGAGTACGAAATCCGTAAAAAACTGATATTCAGGTACATTGAATTTGTCAAGTTTAATGGCTGTTCCAAACGGGAAACTTCCTTTATGTTGAATAAGCTGATTTTAAATAAAAATAATTAAAAAAATTTTGCAGAATTTTGTTGAAAATATTTAGCAATAGAAACGTTTTCTAGGGGACTGCAAAATAGACTCTGGTTGGCACTATAAGATCCATGTAATTCATGAAACATTTTCTGTTTATTGGAAACCAGTAATGTTTTGTCATAATTTTTTAATTGTTAAATTATATAAAGGAAATTTAAATAATACCTCGACGTCGACTCCATCAATCACTGGTCCAGAAAGTCTGAAAAAGGTCAACAATATCTAAACGACCACTGCTCCAAAACCGCGGCCTCTGACTGATTTCATGTTTGTATTTTTCAGATTAGAAAACAAATACTCACCTGACACTGATCGGTGCCTTTCGGATACGATTTATTCGGGATTTGGCAAGCTCCATCCAGTGTCGATTTGGTTTTAATCGTTTCATACTTGCAAAATCCTGAATGAAATTAATTTCTTTGCTTTGGATGGTTATGTAAATTTGAGCTTCTGTTGCGCCTGTATTAAAAAGAATGAAATCTGGAGATAACGAACAGTGTTCAAGCTTACTAGTCCATTCAAACAATTCACATTGGTAGCAGAGCAAACATCGACCTAAATTGAAATATCAGAGGTTGGATTAGGTGCCATGAAGAAGTAAGCATCCCCTACCGGTCGGTCACAACTGCCATTTATAATTCACTAAATCAGTGTGTATATAATGGCTTTACAATTTGTGTGAAAAAAAGTATTTCTTATCATTCATGTTTACATGCTGTTTAACGAGATTAAAATATTCTTTTACATGTATACTTCAACTTTCAGATTTTTAATGGGTCATTAAAATAAATCAGTATTATACCATCAGGTGCCAAAAAGTCCCCGCCGATTTCCGTCCACCCAAACTTTACTTGTTGTAGAGGCATTGTTCCAAGCCTTAAGAATTTTGATGTTCCTAATTTAAAAAAAAAACAATGTCTAGATGATTTGAAAATTACTTACTATATCATTCAGAAAGAGTATGATCAGATGAAAGCATCTGCAGATAACAAATGTATAGATAGTGGGATAGAGAAACTTCAAGATATCCAAGGATTTGAAATTCTGAGGTTAAACTGCATAAAGAAGAAATTGTAAGGATTTCAAATTCACTTCGACCCTTCCATAGTATATGCGATATCTAAGTTCAACTGTATTTGCGATATCCAAGTTCAACTGTAATGTTCATTGTCAAAAAAAAACTCCGAAATTAAATAACTTTAGTTTTTTACCGTTGTTTTTGACATTGGCTTTGAGGTCCAGTGTTGTATAGTCGGTGCCATTAGGAAGGTTGAGCAGTTTGAAGTACGTGGAGTAGATATAGTTATAACCCGGTGATATCATCACACGTTGTCGAGGACTGGAGTAAGCCTGTCTCCTGTTCCAAGTAAAAGGCATTAAGTATTATGCATATTCTTAAATGGAAGATCGATATTAACTTGCATAACGGAGAATTGTAAATAATATACTTTTTTCAATTGCAAATTACATTTCATATGTCAAAGATATCTTTAATTCATGTAAGGTCTTCAATTTTAATAGGTGCATTTGGTATTTTTTTAATTACTTAGAATTGTACCTATTTGTGACCAAAACTGAGCGACTTCCTCGATAGGTGTCGCTGCTGTAAATGGTCATTGTGCACTGAGGACAGACCCAGTTTCCGGCGAATGATGTGCTCTCAAAATCAGAATTTTGCAGAAGTTCAAGGTCTAAAGAAATGAAAAGTGAAATTGAAAACTGTAATAAACTGGATATATGTTTTTGAATTAAAATGTGAAAATACGTTTAACACAGTAAATTTGAAATTACTGTATTTTTATTGTACATATACCAACTTTTATTCGCCACGACTTTATTTCGCGATTTATTGGAGGTAAACTAGTTCGCGACGATTTGCTTTCTTGAATCTTTTCTCAATATAGAAACAGAGACTTTAAGGAATGGTTCACGATGAAAAATACTCGCGATGACGAGGCTCCCACGAATTTCGCGAAAATTTCTCGCACGCGAATAAAAGTTGGTTTACAGTATTACCTTCTTCACTCCTTGCCCGTGTGTAGGTTTCTTCTGTGTTATCCCTATTGACAAAGCTACTGACAGTGAATGTAACGTTAGTGTCTTGGTGATAAACCTCAGCCATTTTAACTCGCTTACTTTCAGCCCCGTTCAGCCATTCTTGAGTAGAATTGTAATTCCCTGATACAAAAAATTAAGTACATTTTTAAAAATGTTTTTGAAAGGATAATCAACTACCATCCTCCAATTTTAAATAGATTTCTTATATCTTTTTTTATTTAGTACATGTATACTTTTCACTGTCCCCTTCCTGTTCTCTGCATTTTTAAATCAAAGTTGTCTTTTCCCAGGGCTTCATCGATTTTTTTCCCTGAATTTCTTCGTCAAATATTGTTACACATTTAAGAAATAACTCTCAGATCTAGACTATTAATAAGAACAATAATTATTCGAGAAAACAGCAGTATATAAACCTTTCTTTGTAATGAGAACGTATGCGTCGTATTCCGCCATGTTTCGAGCGTCACTGGTCCCCGTCACAGGCACCAAACTCGCTTGAATTTTTCCAGTATATAATAAACGTCTCCAAACTGTCGAATTTTTGGGCTAGTATATAATAATATTTATTATATCCTGTTTAATTACAAGCCTCGGTCTGAGAGCTAGTCCGACAACCTTACCATCAGGAATATCTGTATACAGAGAGAACTTTTTCTTAGATTCCATTGTATCAACCCACAAGTACTTTGTTACAGAGGTCAATGTTTTTTTTTAAAGTTATTTTTTTAACTTTTAACCACCTATAAAATACCCCGGTTAATAAAACTGTAAAATACACTAAATCATATGAGTGCCGAGAAGTAAGAATTCAAAAAATAGCGACGTGTCAATTTGCTGTATCCAAAATAGTGCATCTTTTAAAAGATTTTTTTTTTCAAATGTTTTTGATAACTACATGTACAAAGGTCTGAGAAGAGAGATCCAAAGTAAGATACTTTAATATTCATTACGTTTATTAGAAAAACAAAATGTTTTTACCATTTATAATCATGTCAAACATCTTTGCATCTTCAATAGCCGCACATTGATCGCCACTACCAGAGTTATTATATCCCGCGGAGTACACCCCTTTAGACTGCTCAAGTACGCCAGAGGGCGCATCCCAAACATACATTATAATTCCCTGGAAAGCAGTCGATTTTCCACGGTTATCATTCTGAAAGATTTAAATTTTCATAGTAAGATTCTTATCGTTACAACATTCACAGAATCAAGGCAAAACAATGAAACATCAGCAGCGCATTATAAGGATTACAACCTCTAATTTCTTTACTCCTCTAACTTCTATATTTGTTTTTAACAGTTAAAGAATGACCACACTCCTACATCAACCTCACCACAAATGTGTCACCACAAATGTCTCACCCACTTCGCTTATATCACCACAATGTGTCTCCTTCCACCTCTACACCAATATCACCACAATGTGTCATCTTCCATTTCAACACTTATATACCACCTCAACGTGTCTCCTCTCTCCACAACAATATCACCACAAGATGTCTCCTTCTGTCCTTCCCTTATATCACCAGAATGTATTATCTTCCACCTCTATACCAATATCATCGCAATAAGCCTCCTACAACCTCTACTCCAATATCACCACAATGTGTCTCGTTCCATCTCTTCACCAATACTGTCAATCACTTTTTATTCGCGAGAACTTTATTTTCGCGTAATTACGCGAGACGGCATGCTCGCCCAGTAATAGAATTCCTTAAGATTACTTAGAGCAATGACCACGGTTCGTGAAAATTTTGTCTCGCTAATAAAGAGTCGATGACAATCTCGCGAAAATAAGGTGTCGCGAAAATGAAGTGATCTACAGTATTACCATAATGTGTTTCCTTCCACCTTTATACCAATTTTTCCACAATGTGTCACAATCCATCTTTAATCAATATCTCCACAACGTGACTCCTTCTATCTTTCACCAATTTAACCACAACATGTCTCATTCCATCTCTACACCAATATCATCACAATGTGTCTCGTGCCATCCTGTACATCAATAACACCACAATGTGACTTCCCTACCTACATTAATATCACCACAATGTGTCTCCTTGCCACTCTACATCAATATAACCACAATGTTTATTACATTTTCAACAGTGAAATACTGTAATTTATCCATTAAATAAAAGTGATATCCTGTCATAGTGTGAAAGGATATCACCACAATGTGGCAATATCCATCGTCACAGTGTGACAAATATCAGAAGTGCGGTAAAGTATCACAACAATATTACCTTCTTCCATAAAGAAGAGTGTTGTAAAAAATATTCCTTGTACTGTTATAATATATATAGAGAGAGTAAATAAACCATTCGGACAGAGAATAAGACTGTCAAAGTTCCCCAAAATATGTTGCTAAAATTCACAATACTTTCAATCTTCAGTATCATCACTTAGCTATCCACGTCTACCCCAACATCACCACAATATGACGTCATGTAGACTATGAATGTATTACAAAGAGACAAATAGGCAAAGGGAAAATCAAAGAAAATGTAATAAACAGAAAATTCAATGTTTTGTAGTTGAATATGGAATTTATCAAAAAATCCCATCGTCGCAAACCACGGCCAAAATGTGTCTCAATCCATCCTCTCCCATTCCAACACGTGGTTGAACCTAAATAGGAGAGAATTCCTTCAATCTCTAGCTCATTAAAATTTTGACCAATGCAAGTAAAGCATATCACCAAATGAACTTTATCGCGACCTTTCAATATCCAATCGCAGTAAAGGAAATATTTCTCCTGCATCTCTACCCAAATATCGTCACAATGTGTGTTTATTTCAATTGCGATGGAAACAAAACAATATGTGCCTCCTGACAATATCAATATGACGTCACAATATCACCAGAGAGGTCTTCGTAAATATTTAAGAAACAATGTATCATTTTTTGAGTTTTCTCTACACAAATATAACCACAATGTGTCTACGTCCATCTCTAAACCAATATCACCACAATGTTTCTTTATCTCTAAGATTCACCACAATGTGTCTCCGTTTTACATCTCTACATAAATATCACCACAATGTGCCTTATTCCACCTTATATTTACATTTGTGACTTATTTATATATACTTTCTATTTGCCATTTTAACGTGTGAAATGCGTTAATTTTTCAAACCCAACGGCATGTATATAATCCACAATGACGTCTCCTTCCACCCTTTATGACGTCACAGAGAAATTACATAGGCAACGTTTATCCAATTCAATGAATAAAATATATAAACTATCACCACAACTTCTACCTTTACCAATACCTAATATTTACACAGTTATAAAAACGCTTGCCTTACAGCACCATCAACACAATGTACCTCACTCCATCTCTACACCGACATCACTACAATGTGTTTCACTCCACTACACTATATTTTTCAATAACAACACATGTTTGTCCTTCCTCCACTACACCAATATGACCACAATTGTGTCTTGACAAAAATAGCTTATGTGTCTCCTTGTTTCTTTCACCAGTATCACCACAATGTGTCTCAATCCACCTCTATCCCAATATGAACACAATGTGTCCCTTCCATCTCTACTCTAATATCACCACAGTGTGACTCCTTTTCCACAACTCCTACACCAATATCACCATATTCAATTACAAAACATTGAATATCCTCTATATATCTTTTCATCCTCTACACCAAAATCACCACAATGTGTGTCCTTCCACCTCTACACATACATGTATATCACCACAATATGTCTCACTCCACCTCTACACAATTTCACCACAATGTGTCTCCTTCCACCCCTACACCAATACTTAATATCACCAAAATGTGTCTACCTCTTCCACCTCCCACACAAATGACACCTTTACAACATTATTTCCACAAAGTGACTCCAATTGTCTTTCCCACTTCCCAATCATTATTAATCCCATATTTTATTACCCCCTCATAACCCCTACAACCTCTTCATAAATTTTACCCTTTCACAAACTTAACTTTAATCACACCAGTCCCTACACAACTATTTTGTCTGTTACCATAGTTGAATTTCGATCTTCTTACACACCCAGATTTAATCTTCTATATACGTAAGATCATTATTTTGCTGTTGAATATTTTATTTTTGTAAGGTGAAGTGGTATAGGTAACAAGAGCCCATTGGCCACGACACTCACCCTTAACTTTAGTCCTGCTGTTCTTCGCCAGGTTTTCCCCATCTTTACCCTGAACCCCCTGGGGATCTTATTTTTAAAAACAATTTAGAATCTATACTGGGCAAAGACTTTCACACACGTTTTATCTCTTCTGGCACAGTGGTTCTCGAGAAGATTTTTCAAATATATTTCACGTAAAACCTTGGATTCCCTATTGTGGCCCCATCCCACCCTGAGAACCATGAAACAATTTAGAATCTACACTACCCCAGAATGCGTGTACATAAATTTCATTTTTTTTTTGGTCCAGTAGTTCTTGAGAAGATTTGAGAAGATGACACCTTGTGTTGATTATCCCGCTGGAAGGGGGCTTGGACTTTATTTTAACATGTAATTTAGAATCCAGAAATGTTTGTACCAATTTCGGTTAAAATACGTTCTGTGGTTCTCGAGAAGAGGTTAAAAATGTGAAAAGTTTACCGACGGACAGACAGACAGCTAGACAGAAAACATATGTACGTCGAACACAGGGTGATCAGAAAAACTCACTTGAGCATTCAGCTCACGTGAGCTAAAACTGTTCGTAAATCCTTTATCCACTAAAACCTGAAAGCTTTCGGGAGCTTCTCTTTCTGAGCCCCCGACCCAGATCATCTGGTTACCCCTCCTCTCTTTTGAAGAATCCTGGATCTAATACTGATGAAATGTTACATTCCGGTTGTTACGCAATGCATACATATGGCACGCCAAATTCACAAAAATGAGATATTTCACAATGATAAATTAGGTTTATTTGTAAGGTAATAGTTTACAAACCGTAAACTATAGTTAACAACGTTAACCTATATTTCACATCTGTAAACCATAGTTAACGCGATAATCTATGTTTCACAACCTATAATATACTTAACACCGAAAACAATCATTTGCGATAGCAAAACATAGATTAGGCCACACAAGTTTTTTCTATGTTTAGCGTCCACTCATCTTTCAAAAACCTGCCTACCTATTCGCAAAAAACACACAGACCAAAATAGAAAACACAGACTTTACAGTCATAAAAGAAACGTCTTTCAAAGAATTTGATTTCAAAAAAATATTTTTTCTCCTTTCTAGATCAATGCTTTAGCAAAATCCATGTACTAAAATGTTCAAAATATACCAAATACGAAAAATTTTAGACAGATTGTATCAGGGCATGATAGAATTCAAAGATTTCGACCAGAATAATCAATATCGGGTCTTCTGATTTTGTTTGTTTTTTCTGATATTGGGTGTCAAAAACCAAGGCGCACGCGGACGCTAAACATAGAAAAAACTTGGAATGGCCTTATCTGATAAATACAGTTTCACGATTTGTAAACTATAGTTTACAAACCGTTAACTATAGTTAACGATCTGATAAATATGATAAACAACTCTGAAAAGTTTACTGATTGTAAACAGTTTACAAACGTGAATCTATGTTTATCAACAAAATCTATTGTTAACGCTTTATTACAGACAGAACAAATTGAATTAACATTCGTAAACTATAGTTAACAACCGTTAAATATCGTTTTACAGATGAAAACTATACTTAACGAATCGTTAACTATACTTAACGAATTGTTAACTACAGTTTACGGTTTGTAAACTATAGTTTACTGTCGATAAACCTAGTTTATTAAATGTGAAACTAGGTTTATCTCATTTTTGTGAATTTGGCGTGCCATACATACAACAGTTACGAGTACATTTACACTACTCACATTCTGATTTGTTATATACTAGTAGTCAGACGCTAGTTTTAATATAAAGTAATTTAATAATACTGTAGATTTTATTAAAAAAAATAATTTTAAGGCTGCTTAACCCCAGCCCCTGTCTTACACACACTTTGTTGCCGTAAGGCTGAAGCATACACACACATACAGTATGTTGCTGTAAGGTTGAGTTAATGGTGGCAAATTCTTGCAATGAGAACAAACTAACGGAAAAAGATTTAGAATAGAGAAAGATTCAACCGTTGTCTCTCTTTGAATAACGCATCTTCCCAAGTCAAGAGTTTCTGATCCCATGTGGAGCGGAGCGGATCAGAAACTCTTGATTTGGGAAGATGTGAATAACGTTGGTACAGGCCTACACAATATGTATACTTGATTCTTACTTTCTGATTAGTTATTTCCGTGGTCGTCGTCAGAGATGCAACACACAGCAAACTCCAAAGAAGTGAACTGAGTACAATTCTCTGCACCATTCTTCAACTGAAATAGCCTAAAGTTCAAGTTTGAAGTTTTAATTTATAACCCCAACTGGGGAAGATGAATACAAATGATACAACAAAATAACACTGAAAAGGCATTTGTCTTCGGTGTTCTCCCATCAACTTTAAGGTATTTCCACTCTCGTGTGACGTCAAACATCCCTGCAGAATCTTTTGTTTTTACGCCGGTTAATACTGATTTACCCAACAGAATATTTTATATGGAAAATGTTTCAGATACTTGTAATAAAAAATATTGTTTATCTATGCATAGATATATACTATGATTACTTTTTTTTAATGCAAAGGACAATAATTCTTATATTCAATGCACTTTTTTCAGCTTTGAATTGAACCATTGTGAATGTGGATTTACCAGTAGGCCTACCTTGAATTAATTTAAATTTGAAATGGATTGAAAATGTCTATACTCGCTATTGCAAACGAACAAGAACCTTGATGTTCTTTTCAAAGTTTTTAGTAAGAATATTGACCAAAAAAAAAAAATCAAATTTTCTTTCGATTATCTACAAAAGATACTTCTATGGAAGCCTTGATTATGACTATTGACCCCCCCCCCCCCCCCCGCCGGAGGGTAGAGGGCACCACAAAAAAATCAGAATATTCAAAATTATTATAATTTCTTTTATGTTAAAGATATATCTTATGATGATCTTACGATATTTTCAAAAATAATTATTCGTGATATGTAAAAATAAAAATAAAACCTTTACCTATTTCAACGCCTGATCAATGCACACGTTTTTTAAAAAAAAGAATATATCGAATTCACAAGTTTATAATCACATGTTTTAAATTACGTCCTCCTGGTAATCGTGTTTAAAGCGGATGCTGAATGAGTGTGGATCATTTTATTGCATCAAACAGGACATTATCTCACAAAGGATGTGACGTTCACCGGTGTGTGTTAGTGAGTACATGAAATACTGAGAAAAAAATCTGTAGATACGTGAACCCATATTTATTTTGAAAATAATCCCAGTCGCAGTTTCACTCACTTTCAGGTTTCAGTACAGGGTTGCCGTTATGAAATTGAAATTAATAATTAAAAAATAAATGTGCTAAAGATGTTTACAAAACAGGGGCTATCTAGCAGATTAAACGGGGTCGAACTTGCAGGGGGTCGAATTTGAATATACCGCAACAGTGTCGGAGCGCCACCTAGGGTTATTTAGAGTTATCCTTTCCAACGGTGCACATACCTAAAATAGTGAATTCACGAAGGTGAAATTTGATATTCTACCCATCAGCAGCATGAGAGACAAGCTACTCATGCGTATCCCCAGATCAAATCGGGATCATCCGCCAAATTCACGAGTGGAGAGGAAATTCGATCCGACCTGAATAGTGCATTTATTTTGTAAACAGCTGTTGATGATTGCTTGTACTTCCTGAGACTGAGAGGTTAAAATGTATGTAAAATTTGTTTGTTTGTAAAATCGTTTTATTGATTCAGAGAAATTTAAAATCATTCATTATATTTTTCTATATAATTTGGAGAAATGTACCAATAATATCTGAACTCAATCTAGTTGCACATGACGGAGAATGATTGAGGAAAAAGTGCAAGTTTTACAGAGCTATATAGTATAACGTTACCTATAAGTACTGTATAATGAATTTTATTAGATGTCGGAAGACACAGGTGGCCTGAACCCCCAGCAGAAGAGGTTATTGGAGGGTCTGTACCAGTTCTACCGAGAGGGACAGCTGACTGACGTGACACTAGATGTAGAGGGACAACAGTTTGCCTGTAACAGAAACATACTGGCAGCTAGCAGCCCCTTCTTTAAGTATGTGTGCTGTAGATAAGTCTGCTTTTAAATCGTATTGTGGAATAAATTACTGTAGAATACCATAATATATAGTATTCTACTTCTTGGCTTAATTATTAACCAGAGGAATGAGTGACAATTATTATTTGCATAATTTATGATATGTTGAAGGTGTGATCATTAGGGCCAGTGCGGATCCTTGTCAATGTTTGTAAACTATATTTTGACCCATTTCTCCAAACCACTTGTGGTATTTGGTGTGTCTATAGAGACTCAGTCACGACATCACATGACGTTGTATGTGTTAGTTGCGCATTACCAAACCAAAGCCTATAGGCCCTTAGGAAGCATGTCAGTTTAGGGGGGCACAGCCATATATTTTCAATATGCAAGTTTTGAGATTGTAACTCTCCTACGATAGAGGTGCAAATAGTATCCATTTCAGCATGGAGGTGGGACAGGATGTTTCTGTATACAAAAGTGCATGAATAAATGAAAGATATTTATAGCTTTTAAAATTTATTAAATGTTATAGAAAGATAATATTATTAAGCAGTGATGCATTTGATAATTTTACCAAGCTCATATGCATATATACAAATCTACTTTCAGTAATAGGGTACTTGAAAACAAAAGAAACGACATAGAAAAGTAACCGTTTTTCTTGTCAGATTGTACAAACATTTTCTAAAAAGTTAGTTTTTTTAAAGTTATAATAAGGAAAAGAATCAATTTGTCGTTTGAATTGCCGACGTGCACTGATCAGATGCATGTGTACCGTATTTATTAGAGGTCCATATCTCTTCCCTTGTCTGAAAAGTCTTACATCCACTGATATTTTCTTTTTTGCTATGATTTTTTTGCTTTAAAAACTACACCTTTACATTAATTCAGTTATTCTCGAGTTGAGGGGGCATCATGACAATCATGTAGTTATGATGAACCAGTATATCTATGATGCAATGTCTCCAAATATAAATAACTGTCCCACCTGTCTGTTAACGCGGCAACGAAAATCCCCTCCTCATTGAAAGAGCACAACAAGGGTGATTATCTCGAAACTTGGGTATTGGGGGCAGTAGCAACTACTTCCTATAGTATACTATATATCAACAAAATTATTTGTGGACCACCTTAAAAAATATTGGTTGGAGTACATCAAACAAAATTATATTATTGATGGCCTCTAAGAGTGCAACGATAAACCGTTTGACGGTATACCGCGGTTTATTTTTCCACGATTCGGTTCATGATACATGAAACTGATATCACGGTTCAGTTCAATCGGTCCGTAATTATCAGAACCGTCCATTTTGGTTCGTCATTTCCAATTTCAAAATGGCTTCTGCACCAAACATGAGGTCAATGAAACTGCAGAAATGGCAAATAAACTTGTTTCCAGTCTCATATTTAATGGGTCAAAGGATGACAACACTTTCCTAGTGTTAGTGTAATGAGCATTTGATAAAACTTTTGAGTTTAAAGTATATGATGACAAACTTCTGACTTTTTGACCCAATATGTCATGTATCTTGATACATATCGTACCGTGAACTGAATACCATGATACGTAGCGTATTGTGGGGTAGGCATATCGTTGCACCCCTAATGGCCTCATATGTTATTTAAAAAAGCAGAATAGAAAATCCATGTATATCAAATAATTATCTGATTAAATAAAATATAAAGAGGACTCATGTTTTTATATTTTTACAGAGCCATGTTTACCAGTGATGTCAAGGAAAGTACAGACAATGTGGTACCTATACATGGTATAAGTAAGGATGCGATGGAGTCCCTTCTGGACTATATGTACAGTGGGCGGCTCAATCTGACCAATGAAAATGTCCAGAATGTCTTCTCTGCATCTAACTTCTTAGAGATGTTGGAGGTGGTTGATATGTGTATTGAACACATCTCTGGAGCGCTCACTCTATCTAACTGTCTGGATGTCTTCTTCTTTGCTGTGTACAACTACTGCGAAAAATTAAAACTGAAAAGTGGAAATTTTATTCTGAAGAAATTTCCAGAGCTGGCAGAGACTGAGGAATTCCTGTCTAAAATTGAGGTGACTGATTTGATCTGGTTCCTATCTTCAGATGACATTTATGTTGACAGAGAGGAATATATTTTTGAGTACATACTGAAATGGATTGAGTTTGACCCAGAATCAAGAAGAAGACATTTTCCCAAACTTTTCAAATGCCTAAGACTACCTCTAATCAATGATGAATATTTTGAGGAGAAAGTTGCCAGTCATTCGTTGGTTCAGGAGAACAGTTTCTGTCGCGGACTTCTGACCTCGTTCAGTCTCTTCAAAATACAACAAGCTCACCTGTTGGAGGTGGATGAGGATTCGCCATTTGCTAATCCAGTACCACGGCTAGGAATGTACAACCGTAAACTCATAATCTACTCAGGAGGAGCTTACACGGCTGAGGAGCGATCATTTACAGCTTTTGATCCAGTTACAAAGAAGAATTACTACGGGATCAAACCTCATCCATCTTTTGATTTCAAATTCAGAATTGATTACTTTTCACTGGTGACAACTGATAACAACAACATTTACTTTATTGGAGGCATATTTTATGAAAATTACCACTTTTCAGATACTGGACAAGCTGTGAAAGATTTCCTCTTATATGACGAGAAGGAATCCAAGTGGTTGGCCCAGAAACCAATGGGAGTGGCCAGATGTCAGTTTGCCGCTTGTAACTATGGAGACGAAGTCTACGTCTGCGGTGGAAAATCTTTTCATCCGGTAGGAGAACCTACGGATTCTGTGGAAGTTTTTGATCCAGAAATTAACTTCTGGACGGTCATGGAGCCGATGCCTATGGCCCTATACCAGCATTCAA